ATACTCGTGATAAACAAATCTGACCCTCGCTGCGCGTTCATCCGATTTTGTTATTACTCGTATGATTACAGACGGAATTGGACTACTCTCTGTTTTTTTAGCATTGTAAATTTTGAGTACTGCATTAGTGAAGGGAAAAAAAAAACGATGCATTTTCCAGTTCCGGGGGTTATCAGCTTCAGCCTTCGGCTTCGGCAGATAACCCCTACCTCGACCTTGATTATTCTGGAGATCACAAACACTTCATCCAATAATCATTTATAATTCTACTTTATCGGTGTCGGTTGCTCTTAGCCCTTTTGATCCCTAGGAGTGATTGGCATCATATTTCTCCTTACAGTTTAACTGTTGAATCAAGTATAAGGTCATGAGAATAGGGAAAATGATCCCCAAACAGAGAAGCTCGAACAAGTTGAACAAATTCTCCATATCTTACTACTGGAGATGTACAGGGATCAGTATGGAGAATATGTATCCCAATCTCACGTTGTAGAAGGTTAAAGCTTAGTCCAATATTTGCCAAAACATACCTACTTTTATTATTAAAAAATGAGTTGTATTTAATTGGGTACTTAGAAAGCGAAAAGTTTAATCAGAATTGTATGTATTACTTGAATTACCGTAAAATGTGTAGATGAGAAAAATCATCTCTTTTTGTACTTGGGTACTTAAGCCTTCCACTTTTTATCTCCGTTTAGAAAATTTATTTTTGTATAAAAAATCTGTAACCCTTTCCTAATCCTGTTATAATAAAATGAAATAACGCGTTTCGTTTCTTTAAATTATGATTTTTTCGACCCATTCAATGCTGGAATGCAGCCCGAACTTACGTAAAAAGGACCTCCAAAGTTAAAAGTTTGTGTTAAATGTTTTGCCCGGATGAAGTCTAAATAAATCATTTGAGCCGTGTGTTAAATTTATTTTTATATTTTCTAACATAGTTGAAAGCTAATTTTTATCGTGAAACGAAATGCATGCTCGAAATGAGCATACAAGCCAAGTTCCAGCATTTGTTGAAGTCCCTGTGGGTCTTAAAATTATGCCTCAAAATACTCCAACCTTGTACAAAAAAATTGAAGATATACGCATGTGAGGTGTTACCTTAATGTGCACGTCAACGGGCCTGTTTTATTTTCTCCTCTCGTAAAAGAGAGAAAAATTTCGTTTAAGTTTAGATTTGTCCGCTACGATCTTTTTACATGTACTCGACATCCCAACATCCCAACATACCAACGTTCATTTGGAAAAGTTTTTCATCCGTTGAACTTAAAGGAAAAGGGGTCGAATAACGGATAAAATCCAAATGCATAAAATTGACTAAAAGAGACTTGCCTTACGTGTGATGACTCATATTTTTCATACAGTAAAAATACTGAGCAAATATTTACTTTTTGTTGAATTCAAAAGTGTTTTGAGGTGCGGCCGAACGTCTCCCTACGAATACCTTTGTAATACGGGTACCTCGCTAATTCCTTACGAATCCTCTAAATCTCAGACATTCATGTTGTCTTTGCATTCATCTAACAAGTAGAGTATGTTGAAGTCCTAAATGTAATAACTGTCCTAAATGTAATAACATTTGGTCCTAAATGTAATAAAGTCCTAAATGTAATAAGCCTCCAATGCAATCGTTTAACTCCTTCAGTGCATTGTTGTTATGGCGGACATCCACATTGAGATGTTAAAGTGACAGCTGTGGCACTAAAAAACCGCTGACCAGTATACATGTCACATTACGGGCTCGCTGATATCAATCAGCGTCTTTTTACTTGCTAGACATAGGAAATATCAGCAGTCGAAGTATGGTCCTATAAGCGGTTTATTGATCGAGCTGAAGAAAATCATTTCCAGCGCAAAGTGGGCTAGTGCTTGGCTGGAAGCTCAATAGGATGGAATCGATCGACTACAATTGATGTTGAATGCTGTTGTTGATGTTATCGTTCGTGTTAAAGTCTTTATTAGTGATGCACCATTTTAGAGCAGTTTGAATGATTTCGCTGTGTGACATGTTAATCCAAAAGAAAAGCATTATTATCAGTAGTGTTACTGAAATTTTGCACATCAATGTTATTGAGTGTCAATTGATTTTAATGAAGCATTTTGAGTTCATTTTTAAGAATGACTATCTTGATTTATTCAATTTTGAATCTGGGATATTGCATTTGTATGCCTTGAATATTGGTCAGAGGATTCTTTAGTGCAACAGCTGTCACTTTAACATCTCAATGTTAGCGCTGCTAAACGACTGCATAGGAAGCTTATTACATTTAGGACCGAACGTTATTACATTTAGGACCAAATGTTATTACATTTAGGACTTTATTTCATTTAGGACAGTTATTACATTTAGGACAGTTACTACATTTAGGACTTCAACAGAGTATACCTGTTCATGTTTCTATAGACGCCTCAATCTTGAGAGTGACTTTACCGTACTAAACTCAATGAAACAGACAAATATCTTATTCGGGAAATTTTGCTATGTCCTTTGGGGTTTTTGTGTTATAGTGGTTCGACTGCTCTTTTTTTGGCGCTGCGAATTGTAACAGTTGGGGTCTTTTATTAGCTCAAAATAACGAAAAGAAACAAGCATTTTTCGAACCTTATTTACTTATTTTTTTTAGGTAGTGCCGTGACTTTTTCTCAGAGTTCAAACCTAACAGTCTTGATTAAACAGAAAAATGAGATTCTATCTGCAGTTCCTATATTGGAACTGTAATAGCCTAAGTTGAAAACTATTTTTTTGCTAAAGGCGTAACAAAGCAGAATTATCTCGCCATTAAGAGGCACCGTCAGTGAATGATTGTTGTTGGGATATTTTTAAGTGCTCTTTTTTTGTAGCACATGCGATGCCTAAATTACAATCCTTTTCCTTCCTAAATACTGCACAAAAACATTTATTTATATCAAAGCAATCTTATTATAATCCCTTCTGACCAGCCTCTATTTTATAAAATAGAATATAAAATGCAGAGGTCTTCGCGTCTTCTTTTGTGAACGATTCGGTTTTGTCGATCATGTATTTTCGTCACAGATTAGCTTAAGTTCATTTTCAGTGCAGGCAAATAACCACATATGACAATATACGTTGAAAAGTGGCTCAGGCGAAAGTTTAAAGAGAAATGTGACCTCGTCCGGGCCGGCAAACACGATAATAACATTCAATAAACTGATGATCTATACAATGTGTTGTAGTCTACGTCAGCTTAAATGGTGGTAAATTGGAGTAAATCAGAGTATAATTCTGAAGTTACTGCACATAGCAACGTAACAGAACCAGTTTAAATTTTATAAGAATTAAGAACAACAAATTATGCCCCAACAAATGGTTTATCATTTGCAACTTTTTTTTCCTGTTTATCTACTTCATGTTTAGTCTGTGCTACAGTAGCGAGAATTACAAGTCGGAGTTGGAGTCAGTTTGTAGATAAAGAAGGATCAACAGTTTTTCATTAAGATTTCATTTGAATGGCTGCAAGTGTTAGAACGTTTTGTGTAGCAGACCGCCCTAGTTACTTCACCATCTGCCACTGTAGGTTCAGCACCATTCAACCAGCCTGAGAAGGCTGTATTACAGTGGAAATCATCCACTGGCGTTGTTGGCATTTTTGTCCCTGCAGCTCCCTCAAAACGATACCATCCCTCAAGTAGCAAGTTGTCACACACACCGTCACTAGATTGGGGTGTATCGTAACTACTCTTTCTGTCAGCGTCGCTCAGTGTTGAGTAGTGATATCAGTCGTCGGCTGGAAAGTAAATTGCAATTCAAAAAAGAAATGATTTTTTTTTTTTTTTTAATTTGACCTTGATTGCGAGAACTCATCAGGATTATTTATGCATTATTATAACCACCCTCTTATAGTAAAAGCAGGCACATGACACGTTACAGCGACGATGTTGTGTAAAAAATACGGAAAATTTTGTACCAGCTCGGCATTGACTTTCCAATTACCTTCTTCCTTGTAAGAGAAGATTCGTTATAGGGCGAGTGCCAGTCTCCTAAATTATTTTTACAACGAAATTCCCGCAACCCTTACATTAGATATACTCGCGGATTTGAGGAAATCCGTGACCTCATTGGTGTATAAACTATGCATTGATATGCTTTTTCAGCCCGATTAACGCCTGCATTTTGATAATTCTTTTGTAAAAAGTAGTGAATTTTTGATATGCAAATTAAGGTCGAAGAGAACGGTCTACTCTGATTACGTTAGTATGAAAAATATTTCAGCTGAAGTTTCCATATTTTGTCTGTCAACTAACTGAATACACTTTGTAACTTGTAGCAAGATAGAATTCCGTGAGCTACATTGCTGCAGTCGCTGCGTGCTGGACAAAATCTTTGAAATTTACACCTTCGATCGCTGTCCACAGGGGTGGTCTGGCCAAAAATCATTTTTGGCTTGTGGTGACGCAAAAAAAGAGAATTGGAGAAGAACTAAACGATTTTTGAAACATGTGTCCTAAACCCTTTTCATGGGCAAAAAATAAAAGATATGAACACACAAACAGACGAGAAACAGAAAGCCGGTTATTTCTAACTGGTTAGAAAGTCTATCGCTGAAACTCCATGAAATGATATTCCCACAGAGCAAGATAGAGGAACAGAAAACAAACCTTCACATTCAATTCCGTTCCAGAAATAATGTGTTTGGCAGGTGCAATTGAATGACCCCACAGTGTTTGTACAATTGGCGCCACCCTTGCTACAATTATTATTAACCAAAGCACACTCGTCGATATCTGAAGATGACAGAAACACATTGATAAGAGGTCTGGTGGAATGAATAACACAAAAATATTATATTAGCTTCTACACAGTTTTATTTCCAAATAGCTAATTTCGTCGCTTTTTATGATCTAAGCTCTATCTGTTATTCAGACTATAAAATAAACGGCACATGAACAAGCATGCAGAAGTTCAAGAAAAGGACCCATATATAGACCTTTTTGTGTTACGACAGGAATGCGATGCGGCTTTTGTGTAAAATTGCTGATAGTCAACACTCACCTAAGCACGTTTGGCCATCTCCTGAAAATCCTTCTTTACATTTGCAGCTGTAGGATCCAAGGGTATTTGTACATTCAGCATTTGAATCACATTTGTGTTTTCCCAGACTGCACTCATCAACGTCTCAAAGAAAAAAAAAAGTAATTTAATTACCAAGGTTTCGATTTTCTACCATGCACAGACAACTAATAACTCATATTTTAACTCACATCTTTTTAAAATCTTTCATTTCTCAGTGCGTTTTTTATATCAAAGCACTATCAAGTATAATGCCAACTACGATGGGACTTGTAGTTACCCCTCCACCTATAGTACCACCCACTATTAAACAGGATGATGACATATTGCATAACAGATCTAGTGTCTTGAACCTCTTATAAGCTTCTTTATTCAATCGAAGCCGTTTGTGATAGTATTTGTATAATAATGTTATTTCACTTATTGGGTTTTTGTTCAATGATATGATTGGTTTTTTTAAGACCCTCCAAAACCTGGTGGACCACGTATACTAATTACTCTGTTTTGTCAGTCTTGTATCAGCACCAGAAGAAATAACCATACATATAATATGTGATTATACTAAATTAACTGATTTATTAATAAGAATCTGACTGTAAGAACCACCATCCGACATTCCTTGAGCTGTTTGAATCCTTACTTCAAATTCAGCAGTTACACTAATGGGATAAAAAACAGTAATGTCTGTACATTTATTGTTTGTGTCTTCAATATATAGACGAACAAAATATTAGGATTGACGCTCCGAGGATTTATATGTATATTACAAGATGGGCCTTTGTATCTGTCTTGAAAATGTATCTCATAAATAACAGATATGTCAAGAGTTATATGACCAGTTGATGTTTCGAAAGAGAAATGGGCCCTATTTGATATTAAATCACTACCTCCACTTGTGAGAAATCCTACTATTATACTATCACTATTATCATGTGAAAGGTAAATATATAGATTTAGCCAAGCCTAAAAGTGGATCTCGCATTTTTTTTTCTCCCCGCACGCTTCAAGGGCACAACGCCTTGCCCCGGCCAGGACTAGAACCCGGGTCGTCCTGTATTAATCACTCATTGCCTTTCATATCAAGACCTTATTGATACGTCTTAAGTAAAAGTTTTCCTGTCAGCATATTTCTTGTTAACCTCATCTTTATCACAGTTTTCACTGCTGTCATAATCTGGTATTAACAACCTGCATTTTAATGTCTGGGGTAACAGATTGTCAATATCTATTTTCTTGCCTGTGACGTGTTTCATCTGCCTTAAGGTTACAGCTTCATTATCATATTGTGTTCTACTGAGGTCATAAATGGTCTTACCATCAGCATCCCATCTGATACCAATTCCCAATTTCAACAATTGGTTATCATCACTTTTCTTTCTGTATCTTTTCTCACTAGATACCCTATTAACAGCATTAGTATTTGAGAAGTGAGTGTGCGCAAGGTCTTATTACGGTTGTTGTCTGTGTTTCTATCACCTTTTTACTTCCGTTTCACTTTTCATAGCTGATTTAAAACTTTGCACACAGTGCTCGGCTAGACCATTGCTAGCAGGATGGTATGTTGCAAGTGAAAGATGTTTGCTTCCGTATCTCTTGAGGAACATCTGAAAGTCCTCAGATATAAACTGTGGCCCATTGTCAACAACTTACTGGGATGGCACACCATATCTAGTGAATAGACTCTGCAATTTCTCGATGGTTTTAATTGAGGTCGTGGTGTCCATTTTTTCTATTTCCAGTCTTCTCGAATGGGCATCCATAACAATCAAAAACATGCAGCCGAGGAAAGGTCCAGCAAAATCAACATGGATTCGCTGTCAGGGTGCCGACGACCATTCGCATAGATGTATAGCTCCGGTACTAGGTTCAGCCTCCATTAGCTGCCAACCCGAGCAGGTCCTCGCGGCTTCCTCGATTTCCTTGTGGATTCATGGCCACCAGATGTATCTTCTTGGTAGTGCCTTCATCTTCATCCCTCCAAGACGTCCTCGATGGAGTTCTTCAAGCACTTGTGGACAAAGTTTTGGGGGTACAATGACTCTGATTTCCTGCATCAAACAGCCTAAGTGTACTCTTATCTCATCCCTGCGAGCGTAGAAGGGGTTGAGTACAGGAACATGGCTGGTTAGCCATCCTTTACCCACCATCTCATGGACTTGACCCAGGACAGGGGGGCTTCTCTTCGGACGTTTTCAACCTATCTGGTAACGGCTCCAACTGTTTCATATTTAAAACATTCTCTGTATCCACAACTTTTTCTGCTCTTTCTTTGGTTTTAAGTGGTAGCCGAGAAAGGCCATCTGCACTGCTGTGCACTTTAGTATTCTTGTGCCCGAATTGGTGGTCGTAGCCAGCCATGAATGATGCATAGCGCCGAAGCCTGGCTACTGTAATTACTGGAACGCTCCTTCGTGGATGGAAGATAGATCTTAACGGCTGGCGATCGGTGTAAGGGTGAAAGATTTTTTTCAGTTTTGTGAGTGTCCTGGAAGCAAAAGCAATGGGTGTCTCAGTCTTTCATCACGTGGGATAGCACGGCACCAATTCCCACAGGGCATGCATCACAAGGAAGCCTTCGTGGGAGAGTGGGATCCTAATGTGTTAATATTTGCTCTGAGGTGATCATTTCTTTCAGGTTGTGGAATGCTGTTTCGCATCGTTCCGTCCATTTCCATAGAGAGTTGTTCTCTAACGACTGGTTCAGTCTGTAGTAGTAATTGACTAGCACCGGGAACAACCTTACTTCAGCTACATTGCATGGGCGAGGCGCTTTCAAAACTGCTTGCACTTTCTCTGGTGACTTGTGGCTGGGACAGGCATATTTTGTGTGGCCCATTCACTCCCCTCCACTTTAGTGAGAATACCTTCATTCTGGAGTGTTCACAGCTCTTTTTCCAACTTTGGCTTAAATGCCTCTGGCATGAGTCTAATGTTGAGGAACTGCGCTTAGCTACCAACTTCAAGAGTTAACTTCCCTCTAAGGAGGATCCGCATATTTCAAATTTGCTAAGGACTTTTGGAACGTAGACCGTAGACGAAGCGAAACAAAAGAGGTATTGAGCAAAAAAATAACACAGCACGCGCGTTATAAAACTTGTACTTTTCTTAGTTGTCCCACTCTAGAAAAAAAAACGTTAAATAACCAACTGTTACGTCCTCTTAGCAGGGAAACCTCTGCAGCAATTTGGTCATGTTTTTACCAAAAACTCAAGGGAAGCTGTCGCAACGTCAGAGACAGTGAACGCGTCGAGTTACAAGCTGGACTGCGTTGCAGCAAGGGTTCACTGAGGTTTCCATTGCGAGAAGCGGCAGTGAGGCTATTCCCTTCTTGATAGATGTTTTTCCATCTGTTTCCACCCCTCTCTCCTTCCCCTGACGTTTGCCCAGGTTTTTCTCACAGTTTTACTGCTGGTCCTTCTTTATCCTCGACGAGAAAATAAATACACGAGGACAGTGCTAAAGACTTAAAACAGCCGGTCATCGACTTTCCTAGTCATCAAATGACCGCTAACATTTAGGTACTGAAAACACATATCTGCCTCACCTTCTGTGCAATCTTTACCCGTGTAACCCGGTACGCAGACACATGTATACCCCTCACTGGAGGAACTAGCTTGGCAGATCGTATTACTCGGGCATGGCTTCTTTATGCAAGCGTTCTTTACAAAGAAAACGAAAATGGCCAAGTCAAGGCGATTTCTATGCAAGTTAGGAGGGGAGAGTAAGCAGGTAGATTAACAAAGCCATTCTGAGGGCGAATAAATGAGACGTGAGTGAAAAATGGTAATTAAGTGTTTGCAGTGCTTCCAGGACACCTAAACGGCACATACTCTCTACAAGATCAATGAGTTAAATATACCCGTAAAATAAATCGGTCATAAGAACTAAACAGACAAAGATAGTTAGCTGAAATTTTTGACCGTTTTTTTGACAGAACTGAAAATTCCAACAAAATTGCCCTACCGTGGACCCTCCACAGTGACGGATCCAGACCTTAAGCTAAGGAGGGGGGGGGGAAGGGGCGGTTTTCTGTCGCTTTCCCTGTCAGCTTTTCTTTCCTTTGCGATTTTTTTCATTTTTTACCCAAAATAAGGGGGGCGGCCCCCCGGGCTTCTCCCCAAGATCCGCCACTGCTTTAGTAAGTTCCTCCAATTCAGGGAAAGGCAAATAATTAAAGAATTCGTAGATTAAAAATTAAGATAGGAAAAATAAAACTTTTAGACAGTGCCCATAATCTTCACAGCAGCTCAAGACTTGTGTTTTTTTCATCCGGTGCTTAAACTGTGTTTACTAATACCATACTCTCCATATTCAAAGGGTAATTGAATTCAATCAAGGATAAAATTTAACCATACGTATAAAAGTATCTTTGATGTTCGGTAAATATCGAAACTTTGGTGAGATAACGAGAAGCGTTATTTTGTGATCTACGTCTCTGTACCAATCGTGTTAATTGTAAACAATGATGGTTGAAAGCACTTAACCTGACTGTCTTGTATGCCAACTGGGAGCTGGTCATTATGTTGGTTCCAAATAAACCGTGTAGGGAAGAATAAATGACTGTAAATATACGAAAATCATAAAGGTGAACTGCGGACCAGCTCCCAGTTGGCTTGTTAGCTCATTTGGAAGAGCGTTGCACCGGTATCACAGAGGTCATAGGTTAAAATCCCATACATGCCTGCATTTTTTTCACGCTCTATTACCACTACTGCCTAAGTACTGTTCATTACTGCGAAGATCGCTTTCAAATTCCTTTCTTAAACCGCAGTTCACATGTATGATTTTCAAATATTTACAGTCAAATAAAAAGGACATGAATAAACTAGTAAAAAATTGAATTGTGACAAAGACATACGGATAGGCCAAAAGAAGGCCTACCTTATCCTAATCGTTATATGTTATAAACATACCTTGGATCCACGATAGGTGCTGTTTGGAAATGACACCAGATCACTCGGGTATTCAAAATGTGTAGCGTCATTCATCTCGCATTTGGTGATCGGTGGAGAATCACTGGATACTAGTATATTATAGCTGACACAAGTGGGCACCATGAAGCACACTGCTTCACAGATGTCCTTTGCGACGATGTCAATTTCTTTTATCGTGTGGTTAAGCAGCCGTTTCCCTTTGAATGCAAGGGTAGCACTGAAATCCACTTGAGGACAGTGGTCTGTAGAAAAGAACGATGAATAATAATTTTTCCATGAAGATGAACGAGAAAGGAGATCGAAAAAATATATCATTAGTTACAAGGGAATGCTCTATTTGACAAAGACATCGGATTTAGTGGTGAAGGTAAATAATAGGGAAGGGATGGAGGTAGAGAAATTGGTAAATGAAACTGCAATCAACGTAATAAAAAGAGTACACAAATTTAAATCGACAAAAAAAGCTTAACATGACGTTTCGATTGCACCCTGTTATCATTGTCAATATTGAAAGGGATTGGCATAACTGATTTACTCTATGTAAATATGTACAGAAATTTTAAGGTACAAAAATAATTACTTTAATGAGAACAAAGACTGAAAGTGTGTTTTGTATTCATGCAAATAATTTCGCCCGAATGGAGTCTGGGTGAGTGTTATAAATAACCTGAAAGACTTCTTCTGTCGGTAAGGACAAAGTCGATAAATGAGAATTTTGTAGATTGAAAACTAGGCCCACTGTTGTTTTGTAATCATGATTCAACTCATTTTTCCATCTTGAGCCTTAACGCCAACGCACTGTGTGATTGTCGATTCTTCAATTTATTTTCATTCATTCATGAAGTTGGCTTTTCTTGTCACTGAAGGGCTAATGTGTTTGTATGATAAACAATATAATGCATGGTTGCTTGTAGATATGGGAGAGAAACTCCGTATTTACACGCGCCCATGTATTATTCTCTATTTATTAATATTGTACATGAAAAAATTACGCGATTCTGATCAGCTGAAAACGAGTGCATTCTCATGTAACACGAGTGCAAGGTTACAACACGAGTTCAAAGTTGTAACACGAGTGCAAGTTACAAATAACATGCGCATGCTTTCCAAATTTCGTCCGTCTTGACTCTGTGTTTTAACAAGACATGATTTCTCTTGCAATTTGGTGTCATAAGCACTTGTAAATTTTTCAAAAACTACAAATTGTACTTGCTCTACGGGCTGGTGCAGGGGGTACGTTTCTAAAGAAACAGTGGTGCTACGCCGGTGGGAGAGTATAGCAAGTAATTTAGTGTTAACAACTGAGTTGAAAACGTAAATTGGCCACCGTAAAGGGTAAAAAAGCTGACGTTTCGAGCGTTAGCCTTTCCTCAGAGCGATTGACAATTACGAAATCCTCACTCAGGTTCGCTGTTCGTAGACTGTGTTGTATGTACCACTATGCAGTGTGTTGTTTTGGAAGTGGCTGCACGTGTAACCTGTATGGTCGGTTTGGTCAAAATAACCACATTCTGTTGTTTACCCAGGAGAGGCTTAAAGTGTCGTTTACGATTTTTCTGTTTTGTCCCCTTTTCAAATAAATATCGAAATTCATCCCATTGAAAAAGTCTATTGATGCGTTTAGGGTAATAAATTCATTGTTTTGTTATGTTTTCTTTTGGTTTTGTTTTGTTTTTATTTTCTGAGACTTTAACAAGCAGGATTGCAACAGACGTTGCCTTGAAAATGTTTTGTCCAATTTTAAATCCTCACCCATGTTCTTATAACGTCGCCTTTTCTATCTGATGAGTTATGCGATGATCTGAGTTCGTGTTTTCATCCATTTTGAAGAAGTTACTAAGCTTTTGACATGGGGCTGATATCAATAAAGGCAACATGTACTATTCATAAGTAATTGTTAGGTGATATTTCAGTTCTGTACCCGTCAAGAGGAAAGATACAAAACTCAAAGAATTGGCGCTCAAAACACGTGTCGAGACGAGCAATTTAGGATCTAAGATCTGGGATGGAGATCGGAGAAAAATTTTGTGTGCAGCTTTTATGAAAGGCCCAGTGCTTTTCCAAGTTCATTATGCCAGTGTCGAATACAGATAATGATAATAGAAAGATGAAACAGAACTAAATTCGGTTCTTTATTTCTGGATGATTGTGTTCCTTTAGAATTCCAGTCTCTGGATAACTGGAGCACATTTCGTTGTTTTAATCGAAAATAATTCCCTACCCGTGAATTTGAAGCCATAAAACGTTTAAATTTCTTTCAGAAGGAGCTATCTCTCAATTTAGATTTGGGTGTATTCGACGGAAGTTCACGCGGTAAAAAGGTTCTGTCGACATTTCTACTGTTTCTACAATTCTACATATTTGCTTCTGATTCTGATCGAAAGTAATTTTGAAAACGACAGTAAAAGGACTGATTAGACTTTCGCGGGAGGTTTTTGAAATTTTCTACTTATTTATTTCGTTGTGTAAATATGCTGAGAGAAAAATGGATGATTAAGCTTCACTTTAGCTCACTAAATTCATAGTCATATTCATGACAATAACGGCACATACGGAATTTTTTCTTTAGCGTCAAAGCATACTAACAGATTAAAAACAGTTTGCGTGAGGTAGATCCCACCTGTCTTTAAAGATTCACATATCTTCATAATAGCTTTATAAACATTTTTACTCACCTATAAGGGGGTAGAAAATTTTGAAAAATTAGGAATTTTTGTAATAGTCATAATAGAACATTCAAAATTAATTACTTTCGTTTATTCTCGCTTCAAACGCATTATAAATTAGCAGTTTTAAAAACTTTCCTTGAAATTAATCAGAAAATCTACCCACCTTCTTCGCATTTCCCAACACACATCAGAGAGCACAGCATAGTGAAGGTACCAAGAGACACGATGCACGACATGTTGCAAAACTGCTCCTGCCAAATTACCAAAATGTAAAATCGTACACTGCGTTACTCGCATGCAAGACGCTTCTCGCCTGGAGCTACTGAAGACTCAGTGTGATATACCACGGAGACAATTGACGTTGATGAAAGATGATAATAATTATAATGATCTATTTCTATCTACATAAATTAACTTTAGGCATTACATTAAGTAATTGTTATGGTCAACGCTACCGTTTTGTTTTGCATTTTAAATGAAGTTCATTCTCTAATAAATTATTTTATGAACCCGTTTCTTTGAATGAAGCTTCTAGGAAATTGCCAAAGGAATAAAATAATAAATAAGTTACAACGTATCGTTCTGGATACTTGCAACGTGTCAACGTGAGAAATTTGACATGCGCAGAAATTTCGTTAGCTTTATTCGCAAAATTATCCTCGGATGGTGAGACCCCGTGTAAACATTTCGCTATTCATTGAAGACTGAGGCAAGGATAAAGCTACTAAGAATAACTAAGGAATGAAATAAAGTTTTTAAATTCGATAAAAAAAAAAATGCTTTCAATTGATTGATACCAGTAATAGTTCGAAGAATTGTGCTAGCTTTTCCAAAGACGAAAACTATTTTCATCGTGTTGTCAAAGAGACATTCTTATCGTGTTGAAGAGAGGAGAAGGAATGAACGGTCGGAAATTTAACCAAGCTGTGTTCGAGAGGGATGATGAGGAAAAAAAAAACAGGAAATCATATACGAACACAGATGAATTTTGGGAGGACTCTGACGCGTTATAGCTTACGAATATTCGTCTTTCATTTTTCTTTTCCTTTTTCTATCGAAACAGTCAATGAAAATGCTCCACTGTCTTTCTTGAAAATGCTGTGAATTACTGTGTTTTTCTTGGCCCAAACATCGACCGACGTGAAAACACTTCAATTGCTTCCAGCAGAATATCGACATCATTTTTAATTATTTTCAGTGTAATTTTTTTAATGTCATCATAAACACTTCTGTCTGAGAAGCAAATACTAAATTTGTGCACCTCTTGCGCAATAAATTTTCTAGCAATACCCACTACATTTTCAAAAATAAATTACGGAAACACATCACAAATATTTCAAAGCATCATTTGCCTGAATGACAGATAAACTCTACAATATATGCCGATGTAGCCTTTTAATAATTAATGACAGCAACTCGCCGGTTCTATAATGCCAGGGAAGTATATTGAACAAACATTTTAGCCGCAGGAAAAGTAATCATGGGTGAAGTGAAAATAATGTTTTAAAAATAATGAGGAAAGATGGGAAAAAAACCTTCTTTATTCATTCTTATTTTTTTCTTTTTGGCGGAAAGTTTCGTTGTAAACCACATTCGATGCACGTGACCAATTCAGTGAGGATTACAGCTTGTTCGAAGCTGAGTGCACGTACCCTTTTTTTCCTTTTAGCTTTGAGCTTTCAAGCTTTGCCCTTGGACACCATTAAGAAGGGTTGGGAGAGAGTGCGACAAGCGGATGTCTGGAAACTTCGAATGACTCGAAATACAAATTTGAACAAACCAAACACTTGAATTATTTAGGCCTCTTGAAAGCACGGAAGAGATATTAACAAACTGATCAAATTAGAGCTTCTGTTTCACCTGTTTATAAATACGAACTCTCTTTAAATGGTTCTTGAATTAATTTTTTAAATATTTAGTAGTCTGCGAAGTCCTACAGAAAATCGATGCTCTGCTCATTGGATTGCAGACATCATTTTGAATTCGCATGGTGAACTCCGCCTTTATCTGACGCCTAGTATGGGGCGTTTGCTTCAAAAGCCATACAGGAACTATTTTTATGTACTTGTGATAGTAATCTCTGTAACAGATGCCTCAAACGGTATTTAAAATATGCGAGAATTCTTTGGCAAGTGCTTACGAGTTACGATGTTTTTTGACTTGTACTTAGTTATCTAAATATTGATTTTTTTTTCTTTCTTCCCCCAAATTCCATAACCAAAAGTCGTCGATGTGCGTGGAAAAATTCTCAGCCGCAATAGAGGACTGGCTTATGCCAAGTTCAAAGCTCACAAATTTTCCTACCTAAACATCACTGGCATTGGTTCAAGTTATGTTCCCGATGGCGTTGAGTGTGGACTTGCTTGTGTCAGCATACCTTCATGCTTCTCCTTCAACCTGGCTGCATTTCATGACATCATTGGTAAACTGCTGTGTGAATTACTTCCATCAGACATGTACAACAACTCGGACAAGTTTGCCGCCAGTCACAGTCACCATCACTTCAGTGTCACAGTAAGTTAAAAATCTCAACGTAGTTTACAATTTCAACAACATTTAAATAAGGAAAAATGAGACAGGAAACACGAAAAGGGAGTATCTGAGTTCTATTTCCACAGAGTTCTTGGAGACATATCATTTAATAGAAGCACTGTTCTTATTCCGGCTGTAAAAATGCTTCACGAAATGACTTGAGCACCCATCAATTTACCCATAGAGGATTTATTGAATCTTTCTGAACATAAGCTTGCGAGGAGGTACAGTTAATTCAAGTAGAGGAACGGATTGTGATGAATTACTGAATAAGCCTCTAAGCTATCAGCCTTGACACATCTTAAATCAGGTTTTGAATTAATTTTCTCCTAGCGAAATTAAGTTGTAGTTCTCACGTGACTGTCAGGTTGCATTTCTGTATGACTCAAAAATCGGGGTTACTGGTATATTAGTTATTTCATTCCAAAAATAATAGATTTAATTTGAGCCACACAAAAAAAAAGAAGCCAGAAAAAAGAGGAGTTTAAACTTCAATCCTCCTTGTCCCTAAGTTGTGATCGGAAGGTGTGCCGTGTTTCGTTTGTCTCTTTAGTCTCCTTGCATCAGTTGGCCTTGTCAAAACACAGGAACTTGTGCTTCGCAGTACGAGGAAAACAACTACGTGTGTCTTTGTGCGAAAGGATACAAAGGGAAACACTGTGAAATCGGTACGAAATTAAACCGTTAATTAAACTGGCTTAAAGAACTCTTCACCTGTAAGGTTTCCTGCCAACAGTTTAATTAATACTACCGTTTCATTACCTTGAAAAGGAATCAATTCGTAAATTATAATTATCTGAAGACGAATTTTCAAACCTCTATCTGCAAACAAGTGCCGATAAAATTGAAACGCTTGAAAGATACTATTTCATTGTTTTGGTTCGTTTGTTTTTTTTTTTTTTTTCGTTTTATATTTTTTGCTGCATTATTAATAAATTGGACGCATTTTACGTATATTTTGAACAATTTTTCGCTAAAGCCCTGGGCTTTTCAAGTATTTCGTTAGCTGAAACTTATCAAGGATATAATTATTCTTTTCTCTAATTTATAGATTTCTCTTAGTGTTCATTAAGTTGTCAAAAGTGTATTTTTGTCATTCATTTCTAGAAATTGATGAATGCTCTCAGGGCTCGCACACTTGCGATGTCAATGCTTATTGTAACAACACTGTGGGATCCTACAGATGCACTTGTAAGCCACACTATTATGGAAACGGAGAAATCTGTTAACCTTTTGGTAAGCTTTGAATTATAAAGTTATGCTTGGTAATAGAGCGGTAAATTCGTTCGCTCAACTCAGTTAATTTCTTCATGTGCAATACAAAATAGTTCGGAGAATTTGCCAATATCCTTGATGATAAGAGATGCGGAACGACCCATTTTGAATCAGTTGCGGATCGAGGTTCTAAAATGAGCTGCCTAATTTACTTAATTCCTTGGTAGGCGCATCAAATCTGCGAGAGAAAAAAGTACACCAGAGAAATTCTCTACACTTAGTCAAAGGACAGAGATAAAGCAACCAAACAAACGCGTTCATGTGTGGGCTGTTTTTTTTTCACATCTTAAAGTGGATGTTGCCATTGCATCTTTATAAGCTTGGTACCCTGTTCCTTTTGGCATCTTTGAAGTATTTCATTGCTTAGTTACAAGTCACACCCACCTAGCTAGCCTTGTCTAAGTCGAGGTGATTCCTCAGAAAAAAAAAGTTATCGAACATTTTTTTTAATCGATGTCTGTTTTGAAAAATACAATGAAAAAGATTGGTCACCGTGCTAGTTTAAGTGATATGATGGGCCAAACTTATCCCATTTATGCCTGTACTGGCACCAATTACGGGGTTTTTTCATCCCTTCACAGAGCATTTTGCGGTAGCTGGAGGCAAGGGATTTTAAAGTAACACTTGAAACAAACATGATAGGTAGAAAGTATCGCGAGTATGAAATAATTTGATGTATACTTTGTGGAAAAATCACGCAATTTTAAACGACATTGACTTAAAACGTTCCTCGAGTCGTTGCTCTCTAGGTCATAATTTGCATCCCCGAGTAACGGGCTTCATGCAAGCTTTTAGCTACATCTTTTCTTTCCCTTCGACGATTTTTAAAATTTCTTCAACTTAAAGGGGATAATTTGTTCTCCAAAATTATGCAATGCAAAATATAGGTGACCGTGCTCGTTCAAGAGCTAAAGACCATCGTACTTCTTTACCCGGTCAATGGATTGAAAAACGATACCGTGTTCTCGGAATGCGCGCGCGCTCATTCCCCTGATTACTCGATTTTTCTACACAATACGGGATGCGCGGTACAAAATTGAGGAATTACCTTAAGGTAAAAGGAAAGTTGTCATCCAGCATTACGACTATCTTATAGCCATCGATTTCCATTGACGTAAGTGATAAACTGAAGATCCTAATTATTTTTCACTGTCGAATAGCTCTGAATGCATCCGCCATTCTCAGGAAACTTGACTACAACAAGTACCTGGGAATATTGAGGTCTTATTTGAGTCCAGTTCTCATGGATTTAGACCACAGTGTATTCGTGAGATGCTGGCATGCCAAGACAGACGGATGGGCGGCAGCGACATTTCACAACAACTGCGATGGAAAGGGACCCACAGTGACAATCATCCAGGTTAACTCTCACATATTTGGTGGATATACTAATGTACCATGGAGTGGTAAGTATTGAAAGTAAATTTAAATATTTCCTCATAAGGATGAGCAGTAGGTCAGTTGTTTCCACGACGACTGCCAGAGCAAATAAAGATAAATTCATACCTGCAAGATAAAATAACCAAGAACGTTTCAAACACTGGTCAGTTTTAGATTTTCACATATTTTATTTGATTATTTGATTTTCCTACTATTTACAGATAAATTTTTATAATTCTCTTTTTTTTTTAACCATTAAATCAACTCTTTAGACAATCTTTTCCAACTACAGTGAAAATGAACATCAAACACTGAGATTCTGCTAATATGAGCGGGTGATGATGTAGAATTTCACTTGTATCATTTCGGATTTACTGTTTATCCAGTCGCATGAGCAGAGCTTTAAAAAGCTGTCGTGAACCTTTTCCCTTAATCCTCATGACAAATTTTAATGCTGTTTTTTATCGACTTAAATTCAATATTTATGGTTTACCAACAGGGAACCCGTGCCGTTACGTTTCAGGCAACAAGTCCTATATCTACTCGCTTCACAATATCAATGGATATTCACCGGTGAAACTCACTCAAAGTGGTTATTCCAATCTTATCATGTAGGACTGTTCCAATTCTGGACCCTCGTTTGGAGGAGGAGATATCATATTAGCCAGCGACGCCGTCAACAACAATGAGTCATACACCCATTGTGGACACACGTACACCGCTCCCCCTGGATACACGCATGCCGACTGCCCATTTTTTGCCGGTAGCTTTCGGTTCTCTCCTACCAACATCGAAGTATTCTATGAAAAGCTACCTTAAAAATTTTGTCACTGCAATTGCCTTCAGGATATGCATCAGCAGACAACTAAGAAAACTGATGCACTCATCTTCCTTTGCACTCATGCACAGTTTTTTTTTCTATAACTGCAATACACTTTTAGATTAGTTTGTAAGTTGTCAAGTTATAAATAGGGACCTTTAGCAAACCACGATGGCGACGGCAACGAGAACGTGGCAAAACAAAAGATCTAATGAGCAGAACAGTAGCTCAGGACGTGCGTTCTAAAACTATGTACATTTCCTAGCAGTCCACTGCAAAATAAAAACGTGAAATCATCAAACTTTGCGTGGTCCGAGAAAGGAAACCCCGACGGCAGATTATTTAAGTTTCTATTTGGAGCTCAACGCCGCTCTCATACGTTATGCTGAGGTTCACTTGCGGCACCATAAGAGATGGTAAGCACATCCAGTCATTTGCGAAATTCCAACTGAAAATATGAATTCATTTTTATATCGATGTCTTCCTTGGCGTTGCTGTTCTAACTGCTTAAGGTCCCTAATCATAACTGGACGACAGTGTGAATCTGCATTTCAACGGAATACTGTATGAATACATCACATGATGTAACTGAAGTTTTCTGAACTCGTGTTTACTCACTTTAATTAATATGCTTTTTGTGTTAAAGTAAGGTATTGACCAAAGAAAAGAACTCGTGAGAAAAATCGTTTGGTTCATTACACGCTTCGATAAATATTTAATTTATGGTACTGGTCTGACCGTCTTATAAAGAATGTAGCCTGCTCTGTGCGTTAAGTGGGTTTAAAAAAATGTGCGATAGTAGCAGCAATTTGTTCATAGCCACACATATCAAGCAACCTGGATACATTTATTATCTCATTAGGATGTTCGTGGGCTAGGTACAAATGTTCATTTTTTGCGCCACGCTTTTTGATAAGAATATTTGTGACTGTGAATATTTTGTGACCAAAGATGTTCTACGTTTCAATCGAAACTAATAAAAATATATTTGTTGAAAACGGATAACAGTCAGCAACGACTGTAGATTTCCATCTTCACTTAAGTCAAACAACCAGATGTCTACCTTCATAAAGTCACTGAAAATTACGAATACGTTTCGGCTGAGTTCAATTTAAATTAACAGGAAAAAGGGAAATAAAAGGGATTAGTTTCTAAATAAACAGTAGTGCTGCGTCGATGAGGAACACGTCAAGATAATTTTGTTTTAACCATTGAGTTGATAGCATAAACCTTAAAGAAGTTTCTGAAGCTCTTTCTAAAAATCTTGGCGCTGGTTAATTTTCGTTATCAGCTCATTTGATAAATCAAATTATCAGGGAGAAAGTTGGGTGACTCAGTCTCGAAGCCTTAGAGTTTCTTTTTCTTTCATCCATTTGAAGATACGTCGAAAGGGCTATATTTGTCTTTAAAAAACTTGTTCATGGCATTAAAATAAAAATATCAGTTCGCTATTAAAGAAAATTCAAAGGTTTATGAAACAAAGATGGCGATTAGCATGAGATTCAGTATAAATTGAAATTGTGGCTTCATTCGTTAAAGAACTTGGACACCATTCACCATTTAAAGTACCTCGTTAAACTGTTCAGTCCTTAAGTTTTGTGAGTTGCTTACAGCAGATTTTTGTTACCGAGATTGCGTTTTCCAATTTATCCCTCGAATTTGGTGAATTTGAGAAAAAAAAATTGGTATTCGTTGACAATCTTTTCAGAACGACCTTAACTTTGTCTTTTGATGGAACGACTTCAGCATTCGGGAAATCGGTTTGACTCAGACATTGAACAGTCTCTTTTCGAGCACCAAGCGGAATGGATACATTTTAAAGGTACTTTACAATCATGAGACATTCTTTTTATTACTCATTTTTGTCGGGTTACCTTGTTTATTTTGGCTTAACTTACGACTGATGTATCGACCTACGCTTGCGTGAACACGTTTGGGTCATGACTTTGGACTCAAATTAATTAAGCGCACGAACGCGCAGAACTTGCAAAGGTACGGTGCTTCAAGACGTGTTATTCGTTTCAACTGACTCAAAAAAATCTAGCACTGACTGAAAATCTACATGTTAAAAGTGAAGAAAATGGAAATATTTGTAATTGTTAAGTCTCTAATTTAAAATAGTTTTTCCTGGCCATGAAGTACCCACGAGTGACATGGCTAACAACATAGCTGTTTTCATAGCTTCCCTGCCGATGCCTACAAATAGTATTACAACGGTGTACCGCTGCAATACAGCGTCGTTTGGGGTCAGTCACTCGATTATCCTTCGGTTGATAATTTACGTCTGCGTCGGCCTGGCAATAAAACAGCTTGTTGCAAATCTTCTTAACGTTCAACAATTTCATCAATCATTCAGAAAAAGGAAGACAGTACGCGTACCCGATGTGAAGGTATTTCCGACGAAAATAAAGCTGTTGACGACTTAGTGGGTTTTGTTTGATGGACAATTCCATTAACATAAACTGTGATGGAATTTTTTCCTCTTTCCGGTGAACGTGCAAAACAATTTTAAAAGATAATGGTGTTTTTCATAAATCACTGAAGAATTTAATGGCCATATTTTCGTGCTTAAAAAGCGTTGACGTATGAAAACCGCACGATCATGAAAAGAAAAAGAAAAAAGAGAGAAATTGTATCTTTTGATAAAACAAAAGTTGCCATTGTAAAAGTAATCAAAAAATTTTTATGTCAGTTTTAAAAGATTTTAAGTTGTTAACCTAACCTTCACCCCTTAGGTCGATTCACGGGTAAATATTTGTTTATCTGACCTAACAACGGTCGATATTACGCATGACTAATAGAGCATACAAAACCCACTTAGTGACAAACATTACACATCAATAGACCTGCACCATAACAAAAGACCAGTCTTAGTTCCTGTTTGGCGATATAAAAGATTCATTAAACAAAGCAGCTGCTTTAGTGGTAGAAAGCTGTATTGGAAGTCAAATCTGTTCAATTCGTTTACACTCGCTCAAAGTATGAAAGTTTCCATTTTTCTGGTAACGTTTTCGCTCGCCGTTTTCTGCATTAGCGCATATGCATTCAACACTGAAGAACATGTGAAACGTTTCTTTCGTCCCGAGCACCGACACCTTTTACCCGAGACAACGAGCCTACAACTCCTGGATGAACCTCGCCGAGCTCTGCTGCCACAGCATGACGAGTCTACCCAATGCTTAGCTGCCTGTGAGAAAAACTGTGAAAAAATCGAAGTAGAGGATTTTTTGACGGTAAGGATCTCTATCTCTATCTCTCTGAGTCTTCTGCCTTGGTTATTAATACGTATTATTTGCGATGCACTTCGCAAGTTCTATCGCCACACCTTCTTGTAAGGGTGGTAGTGCCATACCTAATCACCCGTCTTTACTGTTATACTGGGCAAATCTTAAATCAATTTTTTCGTTTTCCTTCTAAACAGAAGGCCGAGAACTTCCGAAAATTTGAGTTCGACGACGTTGCGGCGGACTGTGTTCTGGCATCCACTGTTGTGTTCGCTAAGCCTCCGTACAAGTGTGACTGGCTTGAGCTGTACCAGTTTGACTGCTGTCGGGCCTGCAATGCACAATTCGAAAAGTGTAATAAAGATGTGCGCAGAATTCCCGGTGGACCAGAATTCTGCTATAGGAAGCAATATAAGTGCCAGTGCGACTGCCTCAATAAACACAGGCCCGTAGAAAATTCAGAACAGATCAAGCCCTAGTGAACGACGATGAGGGGCTTTTATCTGGAATAAACGATGAAATTTTTTTAGTTAGTGGAAGGGCTTGCCCTTGATACGCTATGGAATTTGATTTCCAGCAACTTGTGTCATTTTGTGTAATTCTCATGTGTAGTACGTTACTGTAGTCTCCAAAACTTTAGAAGGCTTGTGCAGACTGTTTAATTATGGAACGAAATAAATGTTTAAATGTATCATTCTGGTGTCATAACCCTCACTTGAATCAATTTATCTATAGATGTATTAGCTCAATAATTAAGAAAGTCATTTATCTCCTCGAACCTTGCCGTTAAATACCAGTTCCCTCCACCCAAACTCGAAAAAAAATCTCTATTTCTCTAAGAAAACAGTTTATAAGATTTTTTTTTCCTATCTTAATCGTCCTCTTTCTCTCTTTGTCTAACTTTTTCTGTTTTCCCTCGTTTTCCTAATTGTTACTGCATTAAAATCCTCCTTGTACCAGTTTCAAAAGGTTTAGCACTTCAGTGACTAGACCAACTTATGAAAAAAAGACCTTGTTACAAGTGGTAATTGCACTAAGTTTTAACTTCTGCAGTCAGGTGAAGGGCTATTAAAAATTCTTCACCATTCCGTTGACTAAAATAGAGCGCTAAAGTCCTTAGTAACAAAGGAAGCAATTAAATAAACTTTCAATTTGACAAGAGATTTATGCTTCTTAATGTAAGATCCACTACATATTGGCTTTTTCGGTGCATCATTACACTTATACGGCTAGATTTGCTTGTTTAAAGTTACCTGACCGATGCTTTTTCCGCAATGCACTGAAGCGAAAAGACGCCAATCTTATTTTACAATCAAGAACATATGTGTGAAAGCAATGAACCACAGAAAAAAAACCACAATTTTGAATTAAAGGGCTTAGTACCAATGAAAAAACCAACTCTGTGAGAGCTCACGAAAGAAGATACGTTTTTCCAACTGAGGGAAACTTAAATTTTAAGCATGAAAATTTAGATTGGACTTCTTCCGGAGGTTTCACACTGGACACTTCGCCTTTCCAGCGTGATCTTGTCAACAACATTTTGAAGCAAGAAAACGAAACGATGTGATTGAATAGGTTTCCTTTGTTTTAATGGGAACATAATTAAAATGCCATTACATTTTGTCTTGGTACAAGAGATACAGATAATTCAGTAACGGCTACTTAACTTTCAAAGACTAATCACTCGTAATGTTACTGAAAGGTCCGGCCTAAAATTTCACGTAAAAGTATTCACTCGTGCACAAACAGGAAAAAATTTCTAAAGATGAAAAGAATACCACCACGTTTGCAATATCAAATTTTATCAATTAGAAATTGCACCAAAGTTTTCTAATAATGTTTAAGATATATTATCGCGTGGAGTTTTCTTTCCATTTTTTTGCGTTTTCTTCTTTTGCTAGTGGCTCATTGAGGCGTTTTCAAATCTACAACTGCATATGAAGTCAACTGACGTACGTGCAGCTTCTGTTTGCCATCGATTGACGTTATGCATGAGTCAGGCCAACGGATGGAAAACAAACTACAAACGCTCCACGCAGACCACGCATGTCTTTTTCCGCTTTCCTAATATAAAAGGTTTTTACACACCCATTTTCGCTCAGTGCACAATTTTCGGTTCTCTGCTCAGCATGAAGTCATACCTGTTCGTTAGTTTTCTCGCGGTGGCTGTTTCGACCTCTCAAGGATTTCGTTCTTTCCAACTTCAGGATCCAACAGAGGAACCTCCATCAGGTCTACCTGATGCCCCGTCAGTAATAGCACCAACAGAAATTGCCACCCCAAACCCAAAACCTCACGACCGTAACTGCGATTGCAATGGAGTTTGTAACGACCTGAACGAAGAAAGACTTCCTCCGTATTTACAGGTACAGGAGAGCTAAGAACTTGCGAGCTAATATGTTACGTGAGGAGCAAATACTCCAAATCCCTTCAAAATTTCCTCGACTGATTCTTGTCCATCACTGGTAAATAATTTAGGTCAGCCGAACTACAGAACAAAAAAAAACTTTCAAGAAAGTCTCAATAAATATTTTTTTTCCTTCTGTCGGATAATTTTCCGCTTCATCAAAAAGATGATTTTGTGTAGTTAAAAACTTTCTCTGCATCAAGCTTAACCGCTAACAGCGAAATGTGATCAATCAGTCGTAAATTTTTCTCATGATTGTAAAGCAATAACAAACAAAAAGGTTATGAGAATTTCATAGGTAAATCGTGTAGTTTTGACAAAAATTCTCAGCATATGTACTGACATGGTCTCAGAATTTGCCTTCAAATTTCTTTATTCTCAATGATTTTCATTTGCTGTATTCTGTTCCTTCAACAGGACGAAACCAAATACCTAAGCTACGAGAATTTCCCTGTTTTGTGCCGTGACGCTTCAGCCATTTTGCTACCACCAGGCGAAGAAGAGCAAAAGAAGTACGTTTGCAAGCAGACGTTTGATTGCTGCCGTGACTGCAATAACGTATTCTATAGATGCCTAGCGAGGGGAACTGTTTATGGTAGATGTATGCGAGGCGCCTACACATGCATGTGCCAATGCATCGACGAGAGATCATTTGACGAGTTGCCTTTCCAGAGGCCTGTAGCTCTCCCAGCCGAATCTGCAAGTGAAGCTCCCCCACAGGTCGGTTCTGGTGAGACGAAATAGTGCGAGACGAGAAGAGCTTTTCTTCTATTAGCTGCCGAAATGCTGTTGGCTGACTCTTTCGCCCAAAACGTTTTTGTGTTTCCCACAGTTGATAGTTGAGGTTATCAGTTATCAGCTTTACAGTCACGTGTACCATAAATAAACATACTTTGAACTTGATAATGTTTGTTCGTTAGACCTTGACACCTTTTTTTCTATCTCACGAACTAAAGGAGAGACCAAGAGAAAAGTTTCTTCAGAACGGCAAAATGTGAAGATTACAAAAAAAAATCGTAACAAGGGAGGCGTGGGTAAAAATCGAGCTCGCTCTTTTTTATATCTTTTATAGAAAATTTTATGGACAAGCTTACAACCAAAAAAGTAAATCTCTTTCAAACTAGTGATGAAAAGACACATATATGCTTTGCTCAGGGATATTCCTTGAAGAAGAAAATATTCATCTCATAGAATGGATTATAGAGCACCCTTCATCACATCTCTTCTGTATTTACTGATAACAAGTGTTTCATTCTTGGGCTACTTAGAAGAACTTAACGCTGGTCAAAGACCACGATCTCTTACAGATGCGATCATTTCACACCACTTTGTTCAGGAGTAACACCCCTTAAAACAATGCCCTATTAACGGACATATTTGTGCAAATAGAGAGAAAATGGCTCTAAAGAAAAACAATAATATTCCCATGCTCTCTTTCCTGTGATATAAAAATCTATGCTATTGTGTGTTTTCCAGATATACTAAGGGAAATTTGAGGCCAATTACAAACTGCAAAATCCCTGCGCAGATCAAAAAGGCCCTTATACAAATGTGAATGATCAATCAGATAAAAACCAGTCTCAAAGTGACTAAAAAACCCGCAAAAACACAATAAAAACAATCGATAAAAGCAGTCAATCGAGAATGCCTTTGTTCTTTTCACAATATCACACGGAGTGGCTACCCTATACAAATGTGAATGATCAATCAGATAAAAACCAGTCTCAAAGTGACTAAAAAACCCACAAAAACACAATAAAAACAATCGATAAAAGCAGTCAATCGAGAATGCCTTTGTTCTTTTCACACGTAATAAAGGATAAACGTAACAGAACCACCGAGCCACGACTGATTTGTTATCAGAAAGCTATAACAACCTTATTGACCCGAGCGAGAGTCGCACGAATTCACAATTTTCTCAGATGAAGACTGTGCATTATTTTTGCAATTTTATTCAGTCAGAAAATATGCTATTTAGGAGCTTTAAGCTAATTCTTACTCTTCTATAACGAATTTTGCTCTGAGGGAGGGCTGACGCTCGAAACGGCAGCTGTAAAAACTCTTTACGATGGCCAAGTTACGTTATTGACTCAGTTGATAAAACAATATCATATGGTAATCTCTCCACGACGCAAAACCACGGTTCTTACTTTTTCTTGTTTTTCTTTTGCTTTCTTTACTCGCTCGCTGATTTTCAAGTTTTATCAAATAAACAAACCGCACGCATTCGTTAGTAAATGCATTTTAAATCTTAAGATGTGTTATCTGAAAATGACCCTATAAAACTTTCTCAAGTGTGGTTATAACACTTAACTAAAATAATTCAGCGACTGTATGGGAAAGATTCCACTGTGACAAAATATTACGAGTCTAAATATATTTTCTTTGAGCGCTCTAGGTGTAAAAAAAAACAGAATGTTTAAGCTTGCACATTACAATTACCTTGAAATTATCGTTTGTTGCAGTTACAAGACACAGTCTAATGATTCATTTTATTATAAATCTGTCTTTAATTTTTCTTATTATTGTCCATGTGCATTAAAAAAATTATAATTAAATTGACATTGAAATTGGAATAAAATTGGACGTGTACACCAACAGATGTTTCAGAGCTTACATATGAACTCCTTCGGCGACTGTGATTGCACAAGTTCCAATTTCAAGTTCTCAGATCTTACTAGAGATTCAACCGTTTGATGTAAGCCTTCAGAAAGGTGTTTTTAAGGTCACCATCCTTTAATATTGATGTTTAATAGGCTATCTGTAACGCAAACGCCGGCACATTTGTGAGCTGCTTCTAAACATGACTCTCTGGTATTAGTAAGCACACATTTGAAGTAGGTTGCGTTGCAAATGCGACAGCAATCAAAGAAACAGCGTGCTAGGTAAGCCTTATTTTCAATATCGATTCTCGCAGATTCTTTGCAGGACACTGGGTGGTTTTCAATCCAATAAACTAACTGAAAGAGAAAGATGACAATGCCAATTGATTAGCAACAAAAAACACATACTTATCAAGAATTACTTCGGTTTTGACCCAGATCCAGTAAACATTTTTCGAGTTCTTCGCAGTCAAACTACGGAGCCAAAAGAATGTTTTGTAATTCTTGCCATAGAAACATTATAAACAGTAAGAGTTCTATCTCACTTTCTCAATTTGGGCGTGACTAGCGCCATCTGCGGACGCACCGCTATGAAATGCTAGGCCTAAATATCAAGAGCAGACAATAAAACGATTCCTAATAAATAAATCTGCAAGCCTCGATGTATCCGCACCTATACTTGTCTCCCTCTATTCCTGGGAAGGATTAAACAAAACGACCGACTTCCGAGAGTGAAGCAAATAAAAGTAAACATTACAAAGTTGAAAGCGATTTCGAGATCAAAATTCACTCAGTTAGCTGACTTTTTAATTCAATAACTTTGAGGTGTTGTTATTGAAGCATTAGGGTATGTTCAGATTCGGCGTTCGCGAGTCTACAAGTCCTGAGTAGAAATAATTTGAATTTTAAAAAAGTGGAGTATGGAGGCACATTGAGGTGAAGTGAACTGGACGAAGGCCCGTGACTTCCAAACTTTTAACTTACTCTTGTCTCTTGCTAAACCTCCAATGAGGGACAGATGTAGCAGGTAAAGAGGCGAAATTTTACGTCATTTTGAATCAAGGTTCTCTGATGAAAAGGGAATATTTAGGAGCCACTAACAACATTTCCTCATTTCATGAAGAACCCCTATTGAGTTGGCAAGGCAATTTGATTTAAAAAAAAAAAAAAGAAAGAAACGAAAAAACGCTCATTAGTTTTCCTCAATGGCGAAACATGTACGACTGATTACATCTCTTACTTCAAGTTCGGAGCTGTTAGGATCTGGGCAGTAATTCCTACAGTTGCAAGAGACACCCATAGAGGAATCTGACGTATGTCGGCGTTTTCCTTCGACTGGCTTCGCAATTTCTCGGTTTACAGATTCCCTCTGGTTCCCGCCGACAAAAGGACTCGTTTGTACAAGAACTGAAAACAACACTGATGTGAGAGCGTAGAGTACAGTTGAAGAATCCTTCATCGTTCACCTATCTGAACTACATGATTCCAGATCTAAATAAAAAAAATGTCTCACAGCTACAGCAGGATTTTAAATCACGAGTTAAATTGATGGAATAAAGATGGGAAGCATTGATAACAACGAATATCAACTGAAAAAAAAGCATCCAAATGTTATGGATCAATAAATTTTCCGTTTTCGCGGTAAACTCAATAGACTGCAACCAATGATCAATACAACTTCAACTTAACTAATTTTTTATTGTTTAACACTAACTTTCCACCACTAATTTTTTCCACTGGTGCATTAATCGCACAAATGCATGTGCGTTTGTACTCTCTACCGCTACCTGTCAATGTTCCAACAGTCTTGTACTCCGGTGTGAAATTCAATCAAACTGTTCAATGATGAAAGGCTCCGAAATATATCCAGGTTTGTATGATGTTGGAATCTTTCGTTGCACTTTCATGGTTGGTTTCATTAAAAACAAAGCCCTTGTGTGCAGTGAAGACAGTTGTGTGTCCACCAATCACTGTGAAATTTTAATGCCGTCGAATGGCTCATTAAACGTTAAATTTCTTGTCTAAAGTTTTTGCCACGAACCCTTGTCCGCAGCGAAAATTTGACATACTCGTATTAGATCTCTTATCTGGACTTCCAGCGATTACAAATGTCCCTGCTTAATTTTCAATGACGAAATCAATTTCACCGGGTACTTTACGGATAGATCATGTACTACAAAAAAATCATGTCTCGTATTTCGCGCATGGGTTACACGGGTTACACGCGCCTACTGCCCAGGTTTAGCTCATGCTTTTTTTGAAAAATTTCCCAACTAAAGGAGACAACTTTGTCCGTCGAACACTTTTCCCTCTATTTCGCTGTTTACCTCTTGGTTTGGCTGGATTCTTTATGAAAATTTCATTCCAGTTTGTTTTGCTTTAGTTTTACTTTGTTTTGCCTAAGCTTTCATGTTGTCTTCTAGAAATGAGAACTCTGTACTCAGATGGGAGCCTATTTTTTCTCAGCGGGAGTCCAGCTTTGGACTGTTCGGGTCAGAAACGAAAACTATGCTATGCTCTTACAAAAAAAAAAAATGAAAGAAAGGAAAGATTAAAGAACACTCACAACACGCTTTAGGTTTAAATTTAAATTTAAATTTATTCAAAGTAAATCAGTAAAAGCTAAACTTTATCGCAACCAAACGATATTGTACTCACATAACCAATTCAGAATGAATGTATGGGTTGAAACAACGTATCAATAAAATGTGAAGGAAAACAAGGAATTTAAGAATTGCATTTCCTTCCTTTTCCTCTTCACTTTTATTATCTCCGTTTGCATGTATGTTCGATTAATACTGAAGAGGATAGGTATTGAAGTAAATAAGATATTTCTCTTATTGCTCTTTATGAACGGTTGTTTTACAGAATTTGAGGAAAGGTACTGAATATGTTACAGATAAGTGTCAGCTCTTTCAGATATAAATCTACAAACATCTAACTCATACATTAAACTCATGAAATTAATTCAAGACATAGCGTTTCTAGGAGAGCATAATTTCAGTCTGCGTGGCTTCAAAATTAATTTTTCAGAGCCATTCTCGGAAAATCAGTCCATAAATTCACCTCATCAAAGTCGTTTGGGAAGTTCTAAGAAATGTATTAATTAAAATGTTGATACTGTAAGTTGTTCGCCATAATTTATGAAAGCTATGAATGTAGGATGATACACAAAATTTAAAACCCACATGCAACAAAGCGGTTTTCAACGTCTTTATAGCGAGAAAAATGAAAGGGAACGAGAAAGTAATCAGGGAAAAAAATGATATTCAAGCTCTAGCTAATTGTCGCAACACTCTGTACCTAAGTTTGTTTCTTAGAATATGTTACTTGACATCAAATTTACATTTTTTTAATAGAAAAGAGAGAATATAGAACTTTTTTTCCATTGAAAAATTATGGTTATCTTCATCTGAATCACCTGTATGATCCTAAACCAAACAAAAATCCTGCGTGAGGGTAATTTTTGCCTGAACAACGGATATAATATGAATAAAATTTGTTGTATGCTTATCCTATTACAATACAAAATAATTCTGCATAAAGTATGTTTAGCATTTATATATATTTTACATATCTCCAGCCTAGTGTTCCATAACATGCACCAACGTCCCTTAGTTAGGCGGCAGGAAGTGAAGTACTGATAGGGTTTGAAGAAACACCGAAGGGGCCATTGACGAAGATGTAGAACGAATGAGTCACGAATGAAACGTTGCAATCTGAACGGAAGAGTTATTCACAATTTACTGCTCAGTAACCTTGAAGCAGATTGGAAAAACCATATATATTTGGCAAAGAAAAAATTGTAAAAATCACCCGTTTATGACTAAAACATTTGTAGTAAAATACCCATTTAAAATGTTTCTAACACAATTGGGTTTCAAGCCCTAATTCTATCAAGGGCTTTACCAATTATTCACTGGTTAAATCGTAAGCTAAACTTAACATAAAGACGTTTCAGACAGAAGCAAATTACTCTTAAAACCCACAGGCACACCAAACAAATGGCTCTGTCTGTAGACTTCTCTTCACTTTCCGTCTTGTGGATTAACTTGTTCCCAGTACTCTCAGTCTTCACCTAACAAGTCTCCATCCCGAGATTCAGGCTCGTCTGCCTTGCTTGTAACGTAGTCCTCGCGTAATTTGTCTAACTCGGCAAGCTCACGCTGTAAGATTAAAAAAAAAGGAACTTTTCATTCTTGCGATGACTGCCAGGCAATGAATCAACCAGTTTCCTCCACATACACTTACTTACTGTGAAGTTGTCACCGAAAACGTATGAGATACAGAATAACAACATGAATTTCGGGACTACCTTGTTCAAAGATTTCCAAACTCTTTCGAAGATTTCCGACAAGGTAAGAAAAGTGTTCGTTTGTAACACAAGAAATGCGAGCTGACGTTAAGTTGTGGGAAGAGTTATGACCATACCTTAACGACTTCCAAGTGATAGGCTCGCTTTGTTTTAATCTTCTGCATCGGGAAAGGATTCAGAAATTGGAAGGCAATCTAAAAGAAAAAAAGAAAGAAAAGATATTTATATTTCTCTGTTCCTTCTGCACAGCCACTCCTGGTGGTTTCCCATTTGCAATGGACGAGTCTATAATCCAGGTAATCCTTTGCAACGCGGCAAGGTTCCTTCTGTCTTAAAACTTTGTGCCCAGATCTTCCGACCTCAATGCGGATAATATCAAATGTAAATGCCTTAACAAAAAGCTTTTTTTTTTGATTAATGTTCTATAAATCGGCTAACCTAACTGATTTATTTGTTGATAACCTTGCGATAGACTAGCACCCAATCCTAGTCACTTCATGTGAACCCATAGAACCCAGGATAAGCTCTGGCCACTTGTCTTGAGCACAAACTTTACCTCTACAAGTATGATCGCTAGTTCGACTTCACGTATATCTGGAGGATCATCTTTCACGACTGCTTGCTTTAAAACATGCTATACAGCGTAGGAACTATCACAAACTTTGCCTCTGCAAGTATGATGACTTGTTTGACTTCACGCATCTCTAGAGGATTATTTTCTTCGACTGCTTGCTTTAAAACATGCTACATAGCGCAAGAGCTATCGCTAACCTGAGATAAGATGTTAGCATCGGTGATTTTTTCAGGCACTTGTCTCAGGAAGTTGAATATGCTCATGTGATCCTCACACTTTAAAAGTAGCTCTTCGCTGCTCTTGAAAACCGCGAGAGCAAAGCGAAACATCACCTGACAGAAAAGGACAACACAATCAGCAAATACCGAAATCCCTCACAGTGACAATGCTTCGTGAATTTCAATTACAGAGGGGATCGCTCATCATTTATGGCTGGGGGAGGGGGGAAAGGGGGATGGTTTGAAGGATTTTAGTGATGTCACCATCAAAATTACCTGATTTCTTCCCCCCCCCCCGGCTCTGAAGTATTCTTAGATCCCCCCTCACTGGCAGTCAATTTCCTATAGTCCTCTCTTTATACTCTGTTCGCGACGACTGACCCACTCACCCACCCCCCCCCCCACTTTCCCCATTGAAAATCATGTGTTCCGCCCAAAATCCACCCCCCCTCGCCTTGACGTTAACCCTTAACTCCCATGAATGACCAAGACAGAATTTCTCCTCACGATATCCCTACAATACACAAGTGATGAGAATTAAAAGAAATATCATTTAGGGGATTATTAGTCGATCCAACACCAAATTCTCCGAATTAACACCATAATAATTGTACGGCAGACAGTAAAGAGAATAACTGATGAGATCTTAGGAGCGAAAGGGTCAAACAATGGCTGGTCCCTCATTCTTGCAAATTCTTCAGTGGAAAGTTTGAAAAAAAAAAAGAAGTCTCTTCGGATTCTTTTGCTGATGTTGCTTCCCGAAAATTGTACAGTTTTGAAAAAACTCAACATACTCATAGCTTTTACAGAGAGAATTACTTGCAATGTTATACTGAGTGCAACTTTGAAGGGCAGTCTTAGAGTTGGTTTTACTACCAAATGTCTTAGAAGACCGAGTTTACCTCTTCAGCTACGTTACTTTAAACAAGCAAAACTATCCTTAAATTTCAAGATAGCTATGTTTATATTAGGGCCTACCTTATTCCCCTCATAAAGAAAAGTGTCCCAGACTCGCAGGGTTGTCTGAAATAGGAAAAATGGCTATGTATTACTACAAAAGGGACCGGATCACAATTAGACATCAACAAAATCAGTCTGATATTCTGTTATGTGCACAGCTGGTGACCTATGGTTTTGTTACCTGTATGGGAAAACTGTCCACGAACACAGTCAAAAACCAATTGAAAGAAACCAGCGAAAGATCCACCCTGTCAATCAAACAAAACAAACCAATCACATCTGTCGCTTTAGTTCTATGACAACATAAACAGCTGATCCATTACCAATCAGCAGAGCGCACGTCGTGGATAATCCTCGACTGTCAAAAGTGTCAAACCAATCAATTTTCCTGA